AGAACTGGGAAACTTCTTCCCATCCAGAACTCTGAGCACCCATTCTTGTCTGCAACCTGCCCCCCCACCCCCCCACAAAGACTTAAATGTGCCTCTGGGGCTTCTCAAACAAATGGCCAAATTACAACTTCAGATGTGTCCGGAGGGGAAAAATAATTCAATGTACAAGTGGAAAAGAACAACAGCCACTGTATTGAATTTTAATTAAACCTAAATATCAGTGATATGAAAGTTCTGCTGTGCCACACACCACATTTTAGAATGAGCAGCACATACACGGAGACCTGACAGGACACTCAAAAGTTGCACATCCCTGGTCTAGGGAGATGGTCCTCCTGCAGATCAGATGCTGGTCTAGTTTACACGGGGATGAAGCCAGCACCTACCAGGTGCATCTTTGAGATATTTGGTTCCCAGACTCGTAGCTGTGATTCTGGAGGTGAGCCACCCGCTAGCAAAAACACACAGCAGGGCACCAGAGAAACCAAGCTGGTCAGAATTGGTTGGGCACACGGCAAGAACACCGCTATGATTTAATTAGAAATCAAGGCAAAATGAGTTCTATGTGAAACAGTGAGAAGCTGGCGGCTTTGTGTGTGTGCGCTAATGAACCCAAAATGTGTGTGAAACAGACCAGAAAATGAGATTTTATGGCCACACATACACCTCCCATTTGTATGTTGCACCAGAAAGTGGGGGGGGGGCGCATGTGTGCGGTTGGAATGGAGAAACAGAGAAGAGAAATCAGTTATAGGCAACGTGGCTGGAGATTGTAGCGGAGAGGCCACCATCTTCAAGGGCGTGGATTGTTTGTTCAAGCAAGGAACTTCCAAGAATTCCACCGGGAACAGCCCAGCGGCCACCCAACAGCCTGGATGCTTCCCTTGCGTGAAATCCTGGTTTGGACCCATAGTGGTTTGTAAGTGGTGCATTTAAGCCTTAGAGTGATGCATGAATCCAGCCAAGGTGGCTTATTCAATGAATCCTGTCTAAACAAACAATGGTTCAGGACCTAGGCCCTGGATGGCCTGCTCAGGTTCTCCAAAGATCGCAAAGAGAGATTTGCCTCCCAGGTGGGCTACCCCTAGTCTTTTTGGCTAGAAAGATACAGATGGAACGAAGATGCTCTAAGGGTGCCTGTTCTCCCGTTACACGCGGTGGTTTCCCCTTTGCAAACCTACCTGCGATGCTTGCTAAGATTTCACTGATTCCGATCAGAATATACTGAGGGACCTGCCACCAGACGGACATGTCGGCTGCATGGTACGTTGCTGTCCCAATCTTCTGATCAATGATTTTGGTCTTTACCCTCTTCAGCCGATCACTTTCCAATATTCCTAGAAAGGAGAAGGAAATGCAGAAGAAATGACCTGCGGTCTGCAAAAGCTGTCTTACGTTCGATCGCGCTTTGCCTCTTTCAGTGCTGAGCCAGCTGCCTGAAACCCGAAACACTGCCTTTCTTCTCGGTCTTCTTTTGGAAGAGCCACGATAACGTTATTTTTTAAAATGAATTTACTAAAACACTGGGGTAAAAAAAGAGCAGAAGAAATGACTACAAAAAGAAGGAAAAAAGAAACAGAGAGGAAACAGGGAGTTTACAATGATCAAGAACTTAGAGGTTCATTATTTCGTTAATTAACTAAACGTATAGGACTAAGTTCGTTGTATTTTTTAAAAAACAAACAAACTAGAAATCTCTATAAATATCATATCCCCACTCTTTACCCTCATTCCAAAGAGGGATATACACAATCACACTAAGAAAAAAGAAAAATCAATAAAAACAGTATTAGAAAACTATTCAGTAAAAACTTTTCTTTCCTCCTTATTTCCCTGGAAGAGAGTAACAACCTATGACCCATTCTACTTGTTGAAAATAATGGAGGACACCAGAGAACGAGATGCTGAAGGAACCTAAAGCCCAAGAAAAGGTTCAAAGGTTATCAAGAACAAATTTAACTGCCTAGAGTTTGGGCAAATAGAATTAGAAATGGAATTTTTGGAATGTGGCTTCACCTTTTGATCCAGGAATAAAGTTCTGCTCGCTGGTCAACCTCTTTGAAAATTAAAAGGGGTGACATACACATCCACGCACACGTTATGTACCCGGCCTGGCAGGGTGGGGTGGGGGTTGGAGAAATGAAGTGACAAAAATCTGCCCCTTTCAGACAGCTCAAAGATCAGCATTTTGAAGCAAAGTGAAGCAAGATCAAGTTTTGCAAGTTTGGAGCTAAGTCTTGGCTGTTTCAAAAGTCTACCGAGTCAACGTTCCACCTGAGTAATGTTAAACAGCATTGCTAAAAGCTGGTGAGATCAGATGTAAAAGTAAGTACCGTTGTTTGTTCCATCTCATCAGTCTTGTTCTCACATCATTTATAAGATACTTAACAAATAATTGCACTTCCATAATAGGCAGCACAAACTCTATCAGGAATGGTTGGTTGTGCAGCAGACAAGAACAGTTTAAAAAAAGAACACAACTCTTGATGCTACTCCACCAAGAACCTGTATGATGCTTTTGGAATCAAACTTAATCAACTCTAAGAAAATTACAGGTAGTCCTCGACTTACGACCATTCGTTCAATAACTGTCCAAAGTCATGATGGCACTGAAAAAAGTGACTTACGGCTGGTCCTCGTGCTTACGACCGTCGCAGCATCCCTGCGGTCACAGGATCAAAATTCGGGCGCTTGGCAAGTTGCAGCGTCCTGGGGTCACGTGGTCACCATTTGTGACCTTCCCAGGGGGCTTCTGACAAGCAAATTCAATGGGCAAGCCGGATTTGCTTAACAATCGCGTGATTCGCTTAATGATTGTGGTCATTCACTTAACAACTGCGGCAAAAAAGGTAGTAAAATCAGGCACGACTCACTGACTGCATCACTTAGCAACAGAAGTTCCAGTCCCAATTGTGGTTGTAAGTTGAGGACTACCTGTATAAAAAACACTTCCCTGCCCAGTTAGGAATTTGTTAGTGGAACCATCAACAATCTAAAACGTTATTATCTGTTCCTTGATTACCACTGAGATTAACACTGTATACATCATTACCTAAAATTATAAGCTATAATAAATTAGAGCAACACTAGAAATCTAATCGCTAACTCCAAAATCCTGTGCTTTACCTGCAGCAAACGCAGAGCACATGACGAAGAACATCCCAAATGCGATTCTCTTCAGCGATGAGGGAAGGAGGCCCTTCCTTTTCAAGATGGGGTCTACCACTTTGTCTTTCAGTGGGATGAGGATGAGGATCAGCACAGCATCAAACATGGTCAGCCAAGCTGCAGGGAACTGGTGTGGGGGGGAGACAGAGATGAAGGGAACAAGCCAAACTCAACAATCTAGTCCTCAACACAGGACTTCTGTTTTGTGCAAATGGACACCATGTTGCTCGGTGAGGAACCCCAACCCAATGATAGTAATGATCAATGTGAGAGAGAGAGAACAGCACGTATTCTTTATTTTTTATATTTATCTCCCACTTGTTCTCTAGGAGCTCAAAGCATTAGAGAGGTCTTCTTCTTTCCCTCCAAGTTATCACAACAGTGAGGTTGGTGAGCCAGAAAGAAACTGTCCCAAGGGCACCTAAGTAAGGTTCATGTTTGAACAGGGGCATCAGATCAATCTTCTGACACCAAGCCCAATGCTCTGGCCATAACACCATACCAGATCTTGAATGGCAGAAGCTTGGGGTCTTTCAAGGACCGCAAACAGAAGATTTAGTATTTAGTATTGGTGGGAACAATAAACCCACATTCATTCTTTGCAGTTGCTGAATGACATTTGATCTTCCCTACTTGGAAAATCACTGCAGAGTACAGAGATGACCTTGGAGAAATGATGCAACAATTGTTAGTCAAATAGGAGCCTAGTCCGGGAAAACAGGAAGGGGTGAGAAAGAAACTCAAGATTGCCCTGCCTTGACTTTCTTTGGTATAAGAGGAAGGGACAGAGAAACACAGTCAGGTTTTCAAGATTCTGTTATTATGACTTATATCAATAGAATTCTTGTATTTCTTGGGGATGTCTGTTTCCTGATCTGGTCTACCGAGAAGGGCCGGCAATCATATTCTAGGAATGTAAGTGCCCTGTAAGGTGGCCTTCAACTGGAGGTCAGTCTAGTCCAAGGTCAGAAGCAGTTGAAAAAAAACCAAACTGAATGAACAATCACTGTGAGGCTCGATGATGCAGCTCATTGTTGGACCCTCATTAATAATAAAACCCAATTGCCACGGCTGTAGCTGCAATTCCATTAAATCCCATTAATCATGGAAACACCTGCACCACAAATGACAAATTGTGCCACTCATCTCTGATAAAACAGAAGCTGGTAAATTATTGAAATAAATACAGGCAGAGGTAGTTTCTCAAACAGCTGCTGAAGCCAATGTTGAGGGCAAAAGGATGAGATCAGCTTTCAAAAGTCAGTTCTTCCCCACCTTCCTGCCCCGTCAAGGAAAACAAGAAATCAATAGCTTGGCTTGGCCGATCTGTTTCTCATGACATCACCAAAAATCAAAGTTTCTGAATCTTGGCTGTGGGCTCCCCTTCTGCACTATTCACTGTTCTTCGTAGTTCCTCTCCCTGACATTTCTTTCTGTATTTACGTATTCCCACTGATTCTACCTCTGTAGCGAGAAGTGGCAAAAATGAGATTTCTAGGTATCTGGAATGCCGCTGGGACAACAGCTCTCCCTAGGTGAATTCCAGCCAGTCCCTGTCAAAGTGATCTGTCCTAGGTCCTGAAGGACTCTACAGGTAGTCCTCGACTTAAGACCACTATTGGGACGGGAACTTCTGTCACTAAGTGAATGCAGTCATTAAGTGAGTTGTGCCCAATTT